ATTATACCATGGTTCGGCTTGGAAGAGAACCTTAAAGGTTATCTAGTCCACCCATCTTGCAGTAAACAAGATTATTTTCAACTAGATCAGGTTGCTCAAAGCTCCATCCAACCTGACTTTGAATGTTTGTGAGGATGGAGCATCTACCACCCATCTGGACAGCCTGTGCCAGTGTTTCACCACCCTCATTGTAAAACATTTCTTCTTTATATCTACTCTGAATCTACCTTCTTGCAGTTTAAAACCATTACCCCTCGTCCTATGGCAACTGGGCCTACTTAAATATCTGTCCCCACATTCTGGCCTTCCCCTAAGTGGAGTTTGAGAGGAAGGAACATATGGCTCCTGTGATTGTACTCTACAAAATAGGCATTTGGAGTTCGGTTCTTAATCTTTTCCATTAAATTCACCCATTTCCAGATTTGAATATAGGTGGTGGTGAAAATGGGGAGGTGGAGAAAGGTTGAGAGAGAACTGAAGAAGACAAAATAATACTCATCAGAGCAGAAATAATTATAAACACTAGGCTACAGTCATGTGTCAGCACTCTGTCCCAATAAATATTTAATTACTCCATATATATTGGAAACATCGCAATGAGAAAAAGTAAAACAATACTTGCCAGCACAATGCACAGTGCACTCTCACGGGTGAGAAGAGAAGCAGTATCAGCTCCTCTCTGGTCAAGAAGGGAGCTAAATATAGATTGCCACATCCTTGGAAAACATCCTAAGCAAATAGGTTCTTCATAAGGAGAATTGTATCAGCAGTGCCTTTACACATCTAGCTATGTCCCTACTTACAGAAAAGTGATCATGATTCTTAATTGGAATAAGGTACCAACTTCTTGAGGCAGATTTTATGGGAATGACATCTTGCTTCACTTTTTTAATTTATTCCTTGTTAGGTTCTGGGTTTTGAGGACTTTAATCTTGGACATCAATTTCTTCCCATGCACTGCACCACAAGATGTGGTCCTTAAGTGATACCTGGACCTGGTGAGATGCCTCAGACACTATAATTCCCATTTCCCTCTTGTGACTCAATTCTTAAGTCCTCTCAAACCTCACATACAGTCCTACTTGAAGTATCCAAAACAGAAAGGAAATAAAACCTGCAGTTACTAAATTCTGAGTTAGTATTTTCATTAATAAACACATTTTGCAGAGTCGTTTCCAGGAATTTTTTATACATATGGAGATATAGGGATACATAAAGAGATATATAGTGCCTATGCTGTCAAGACTAATTGCCTTCCACAGTGCTCAAAGGCTTTTTGTTTTGGAAACTAAAATATTTCATAGCCCTAAGTACAGCTCCTTTGAGAAGAATCTAAGCCAACTAAATATTTTCTTTCCCAAAAGACCAGACTTTTAATAGGACCCAGAAATTTTTTTTACATGGCACATCACTTAAAATGACAAGGCTGCTGAGGAAGAGCAGGTCACAAAGGTCATTCTAAAAGAGAGAAAAGCAGAGAAGCTGGAAGTTCTTCTTACCGTATATGATTAGTTAAACATATGTGTAGGTGCTTTTTGGAACAGGAGTGAATAAACTGTTCTCCATGTCCACTGCAAACTAAACAAAAACTAATGGGTTTTCACTGAAGTTAGAGAAACTCCAGTTTGTCATCAGGAAAGATGTTCTATCAGTCAGGGAGTAAGTTACCTGGAGAAGTTGTTGAGTTTTCACTGTGGGAGGTTTTAAAAAACAAATTAGACAAAACACGTCAGGAACAGCTCAAATACAGTTGATCTGCCCTAGGGCAAGAGAACAGACAAAAGGATTTTTTTAGATCTTCTTCAAAGCTATATTCTAGAGTTCCTACATCACAATTAATATGTCGGACTTGTTCATTTATTATCAGATATGTTACATTCCCTACTTGCTCTATGAATATATGAAACAAATATGAGCCTTCAAAAGTAGAGCTTAGTAAACATTTTTAATCAACACTGAACTTGCCCCGAACATTGTTCCATTGATTTGGAAGCAATCCACCAATTTAAGTTGATTTTGTCAAGCTGGATTTACAGGAGGGAAAACAACAGGGACAGATTCACACAAAAAAAAACATTCATACATGTCCTTTTTTTCCTTATTCTCTAACATACACCCACAGAAATTATTTTGGTCTGTGATATTTACAGCTCTGCCAGATACATTGCCACATATATTTCATTTCTGTACAGGGTGAAATGTGAAAATAATATGACAGGTATCATTGCACTGTGCATCTGGAAACATTGAGTTCACCTCATGTTCTAATGACCGACAAAGCTGTTAACAGTGGAGTAAAAATCAAGAGTGTGGTGCTTAAATGCCTAGGCCATACCAGAAGCTTTACCAATTTCATGAGGGCCAGGAGCTCCACCAGAAAAACAAAGCTGTGGTAATTATCACTGAACCCTCAAACATATTTTGTAATTCCACTGTTTGTAGCAATTGGCTTCTATGTGGGGTCATTCATTCTAAAAATTTGGATGCAATTAGTTCAGGCATATACAGTGAGCTAATATATTCCCCTGAATTTTCACTTGCTTTTGCAAAAGCCATTCAAAATTACAGTCTGAGTTTGGCAGATGTCTCTCTTCTGAGGCACTCCTTGAGGACAGGAGATTATAGAATGGGTTGTGACCCTTCCATCTCTCTTAAGTGAGGAAGATCCAGTCTTTGAACGCTGAAAGATCTAGCACAAACCACTATGGTAATCACAGATGCCAGGAGAGACAGGTTAGAGGCCAGTCATCTCTCTATGGAAAATTTGCATGGTAATAGAAACAACAATCTACAGACATTTCTGTTATCTAAAAGCCTGTACTTTTGGAAAAGCAAATACATCAACACAAAGGAAAGGTCATAAGATACCTCACCTGGACAGGGAAAGCTGCTTTCCTTTTAAATCAACAATTAAGACTTGAATGAAAATACAGAAAAAGAACCAATTTATACAAAAAATTAACCTATAAACAGCCAAGGAAGGCTTCAAATGGAAGGCATGGAAGGGGGCTGGCCAGTAGACTGAATAATCACATTGGGTTTTGATTGCAGGGGAACACTGCATGAAAGGAAAAAGTTTTTCTTTCCACATTTGGGACATGTAATTGAGAGTAGGAAAGGCAAGTACAAAACCATCAGCTCCCATAAGGAATAGGCCATGAATAAGAATTTCTGCAATGTATTAGATTATCCACTTACATTTTCATAGAGCAATTTCTCATAGAAAGCAAAGCACTGCATTGGATTTTTACAGCAGCTGGTACATTTAGCATGTGCTAACCAGTTCTGACTTGGAACTGCAGATAGTATATTCTGCAGTGAAAAGGAAAAAAAAAAACCACAAAAACTATACAAAAGTCTATACTTCTAGTCTATTCTGCCTGCAGTTGGACCCTCAGAACATATATAAGTATGATTTTTTAAGGAACTATACAATTTGTGCTTCCATTACACTGATGAAATTTATGGATAAATGGCAAATTAAAAATGAGGACAGCCAGGATTCTGACTGCCAGCACCCTGGCTTGAAATGCTTGTTCCAGTTTCTAAGCAATAGTTTTCTATTGTTTTGCTATAAGCCAGAAAGCCATTTTCATATGCTAAGCATAATTTGGAGTTAGCCCTATATATTCTATTATTCTCAGCATAAAAATTGGAATTTAAATTCCGCTGGACAAGACTAGCATCACAACTCTTAGCAATGAGGTTAAAGATGGGGTTGAGGGTCAAATACTGTGATAAGACTGGAAAGAAAAGAGAGTCTGTGATGTACTGTCTTTCTCAGGTGGTTCAAGAGATAATATGCTGGAATACACTTTCACCATTTTAAAAGCATTTAGCTTTGTGAAAAAAAAAAATAAATTAAAAATATATGACAGGGATTAGTAGCTGTGCCTGCAAGCTGGGACTCAAATGTTAAATCATTCATGGGATATATCCTACATTAATGTTAAGACTCATTTGTTCTGATTTCACTCAAAATCAGAATGCTTGTTCTCATTCATTCTGCAAGCTTCTTTTGCTAATTAATTTTTACAATAAATTTCTTCATTTCTTCAGAGAGTTATGTTCTAGCTGCCTGAAATTCCAATTCATCTTTCTAAAGAATCACATATAAAATGTCAAGTAGAGCGACAATTTCTTTCTGGGTTTTATATTTTAAAAGAGGGAAGCTCTTAAAAGTAGTTATGCCTACAGAAAGTATTTTGGAACAACTTTTAAAACTTGAAATATCTTTTGAACCATAAAATCAATGGAAATGATTGTACATTTCCCTCATGTTTGATTTTGGCCTGAAGATTTGCAGTTTGCAGTTCATGCCCATTCCATTTCTGTCTCACTTTTTAAGAACACAGCAATTCATTGCTTGGTTCTGTGGAGTTTGTTTTCATCTTTGAAGTATAAACATGGTGGGAGACAATCAGTTTAGATAGCTAATTTAGTTAATAATAGCCTGCAGGCAGCCAGGGGCAGATTGGAGCCAGTGGTGACAAAGAAATATTTTAGATCCTGACACTGAAGAAAGGTGTTTAACTTTCTTCTATACATCTGTTCCTCATACAGAGACTATTTAGGTTGATATCTCTGCACTTGGGCTATAGAAAAGTCCAGCCCAATGTCAGTCCCATAATTATGAAAAGTCCTATTAATTTTTTTTACACAGGATACAATCACTGGACTATGAATAACCTCAGTGGTTATTAGCAAGTAAAGGAGATATATTCTCTTTTGGGAGAAATCACAGTCACCAAGTATCAGGTGAAGTACACCAAAGATGAGATAAAGTTCTTTACTTCCCCTTTGACAAATGTCAGTTGAAAGGATTAAGAAGTCAGCAACATATTCAAGGTCAGAGAGATAACACTACACATCTTCTATAATCTACCCTAATTCCACAATTAAGGCCAGTCTTTCAATCTTGTCAAACATTGCTTGGCCTTTCTCAGGCTTGAGACATCTCACTCAGTGTATACATTTTAATTCTTGATCTTGTTATTTACCTCTTGGTTTTTCTGCAGTTTTTCATCATCTGTGGCAGATGTTGTCTTCTCCCATTTCTCTGCAACTTGATTTGCCTCTTCTATTTTTTGCTCATAGCTTTTCTGGGAATTTAGCAGTGTCACTTCATAAAACTCTTGAATATCTGTTTGTAAAGAGGAACAAGCAAAAGACATTATTTGGTATGTTGGCTTTTAAAAATCCCTGGTATTTTTCTTTGGCCCATATATACTCACTCATTATCATCATCATGATAACCATGTATTACCTTTCCAGCAGAAAGCACCAATATGCAAATTTTCTTTCTAAAATGTCAGTGACATTTTTGAGGTGTATTTTCATTTTAAAGGTTCTTACAAATCACTTCAAAGAAGCAAAACAATAATATTTATAAGAGATCCCGAGAGCACATTACAGACACACATGAATTATATAAGTGGAACAGACCCTTATACAGGGAGAAGTTACAGATCATTTTGACTGGTGAACTAGAAATTTTCAAATGTGAAATACTCTAAGTGAAGCTTGTTGGCAAACACCCATCCCAGGCACCTGAGCCACTCGCAGCCCTACCTGCAGGTGCATTTGGGAACATTTTTAAGTGGGATGCACAGCTTGAAGGAAGACTTTGTGGATTCATCACTTCAACCTGTTGCCATTCAGAAGTAGTTAAGTTAATGTTTTGTTTCACCTAAGAGTAAGCAACAAGTTAGGTCTTCTGTCCTCTCCAGATGTTCCTATCAAACTCATTTTATGGGGTATGAACAGATATACAAGATCCATCAGCAAAAATACTTCCACTGAAACCTGTGCATATAATAACCTAAGGAGAGGAAAAAAAGTGTTTACTTCCTTGGGACAAGAAGTTTTTTGTCATGACAGACATTATTAAAGATATTTGACTCACCAAAGAAGAGAAATCAAGAACATACTTTCTCCTGGTTAAGAAAGGAAGAAAATAATTTTGGAAAGAAAGATTGTATATACCTGAATAGCCCCTGGGACTTCAAAGGAGGGACGGGTTATAAAAACTACGATGCTTTTAATGAGCATCTCTCTCTAACGAGCACTACCTACTGTGCAAAGAGTACAGGAGGGCATAACCCTCGAAATGGAGGTATCAGGAGAAGCAGAGGAGGCAGAGAAATCTTTCTTGGTTTGGGTGAAAAAATATAGGGAAAAATCAAGCTTTTTTTGTAAGTACACAATGTCTTTCATAAAAAATTTTGACTGTATTTGGTGAAGAAATGTTCTGTTTGCATGTTACCTTCCATTGAATTGATTAATAGTAGCCTCAAAGTAACCAGACAACCAGAGATAATTTCTTCTTAATGGAAGCTGTGATAAATCTATACCTAACAGTATCCCAAGCCCAAACCCTCCAGAATGCTCCAGCATGTCTAAAAATAAAGAGAATGTTCCTCAGGAAAACTTCTTTGACCAGAAGAGAAAAATGTGCCAGCATTAGTCATATAACTTATTTGGCAAAGAGGAAAACTCGGGGGTCATGTCTGGAGCTCAGAGGCAACCAAGGATTTTGTCATACAGGCTCAGAACCCAGATCTGGCCCAGGAAGGCATCAGTTCTAACCATAATGAATAACCTGCCATGGTGCTACACCTGCATTTTCTGTTACATGCTGTCTCACACAACAAAAGACTGAACTGGATCGCATGTGCCAAGCAGAGCTAAAGAGCAGGGGGGCACAGAGAGGCACACAGGAGAAGGGCCAGATTTTCCTCATCTTTCAAGGGCCAGTCAAAAGTACTGAACTGAGTCTGTGTTCATGCTCCCATGAAGTCTCTGGCCAGATCTCTAGGAGCTGCTCTTCCTTCTTTAGTAACAACTAGAACTGAACTCTTCTTCTAACTCCTTCTATAACTTTAAGACTCATTGTATACTCATTTTCTATGTACAGTGAAAAAAATTAGTTAGACTTTTTAATTTTAACATTGATAACTCTGATCTATAGGATGTAGATAATAACTTCCATGTCATATAACATATTGGTAAGAATTTATATTTCATATTGGCAGAAACACTTAATTCCACTATTAAAACTGAAACGTACTTTTCAAATTAAAAGCTAGAGGGTAGTTCCAATGGGAATGGAAGTTTCTCCATTCTCATTAGGGGGATTTTTTATGATCATTTTGAACACTCATCATAAAATTGCAAACAGTTGTTATATATGGGTCGATGCCAGGTCAATTTGTATTGCAACTGCAAGTAAAACATATCAGGTTAATATGTAATTATCTCTAGATAAGTCTCTGCAGAAATAAACTAGAAATTGCCCTCTGGCAGTGGCATTCAGGTGGCATAGCTGTCATTATCAGAGTATTAATTGGGTTGACAGCAGTCAGTCAGGGAAGAGCAGCAGAATACCTTCACTCTAAAGGCTGCCTTGTCCTCATGTTTTCATTAAAAATAATGTGGGAGCCACATTTGCATGTGCAGTGCATGCACATTATGCAGAGTAAATATTAAAAACTCAGTATATTTTTAAAGGTCCTTATCTATTCTGGGGAGGGCCCTGGGTTGCTTCAGTAGAATAATGATCACTGGTGTGCAGAGAAGAGCAACCTAGGTGGTTACAGAAGAGAGCACAGAGGATTCAGTTAGTTGGTTGCTTTGTTATTCCGTAAGCTAAAATTGCCATTTCTCTGGAACAAGGGCAGCCAGTGACTTGCAGTCAATCAAGGTTAGCAGAGAATAGGATCTGTAATTTGCTCTGAATAAAACCTGCTCTATTGAGTAATCTCCATTATGTGAGAGGTGCAAACCATGCCAGGAGGGGAAAAGGGCTGAATGCTATTGAGGATGAGAAAAGAGGTATTTAGGAGGTGATCCGATCAATCAGCTGTAGAATGAAGCTTGGAGCCAAGGTCATAAAAAGTAGTTGTGAGAGCATGGTAACTGTGATATAAAATGGCCAAAATACAGTCTGTCTCCTCATGGAAGCTTACAGGAGGTTAATTCAACAACGAGATTAAAATCTTACACAAGTGAAATGTGTATTTTTTGGCACTATATTCCCTCCTTTCCATGAAAACTAGTGCAGATTTTATTTTAAAATGGCAGTATTACTATTGATGAAATCTGTGAGCACAAAACATTTCTCCAGATCTCTGTACCACTCCAAACATTTTGTTAGGCACAGTATTAATGTTTGTTTAAAGTGTCTGTGAGTCTCACTGGATTTTCAGTCCAACTGAATTTGTTCATTTACATCTTAAGAGATTACTTATTTTGTTTCATAAACTCCACTTGCTCTTCCATTAGCCTAGCCCAAATTCTTTTGTTAGTTTTGCTGTACAATGATAAATTGCAAACAAGAAATTATATATATTCTAATATGAAGTAATCCTAAATATACTATGATATATTTTCTTTTAGATAAATCCATCACTGGCGAAATGGGAAAACAATTTTTCTTTGCATCAGCACTACAGAGAACATATCAGTATCACTTTAAAAATGCCCATGGACAATTATACCATAAATCACTGCATCTGTGCTCTGCAGGCAAATTGCAAGGACCCCCCTCTCTCCAGTCTTACAGACCTGTGCAAGAGTGAGCAGGGTCTAACCTCAGTAGGTATACCAGGGAGCACTTTCTTTTACTATAGCTGGATGTACTTCCCCATGTGAAGTCTTGTTTTCTTAACTATTGCTTTAAAAAAATAAATAAAAAAAAATATCAAATATTTAGGCTCAAATTTGAGTTGTGCTAACTCTTACCTATTTTATTTTTTTTCTTTTTAAAGGCAATTTAATTATTTGGATAAAGAATAAGAACTGGAGAAGACAGAAATGTCAAATTCACACAGAAGAGTGACCTTTCTTTCAGACAGCAGCTACATGGAAAGTAAAACATGTGATCAGATGAAGTTGAATAGGCTGCCTAAACTCTGCCATTTCCTGGCTTCTGAGTGATTGGTGCTGCAGCCCTGTGACCATTATTCCAGTACAACTTCTGTTCCAATTTATATGTATTACAATATCCATTCATTATAGGAACACTTCACAACTGTCATAGCAAAGGGGTTAAATAATATGAAAAGGCAAAAATGTTGAACAGCCTAAACTACTTTCTGTCTTCTGTGACCATGGGCTTTTGCCAGCATTCTAATGAGGAAAAATAAGACAAAGCAATACAATTCTTCATTCATCTGTAAGCACTTCAGCACCAGAAAGATAGAAGTAAATTGAAGGGAATTCAGACAAAGACAGATGATTAAAGGTCTGAGAGGACTAACTTTTGAGCAAAGATTAAAGGAAGAGAATAATAACATACACTTTCATACTCCCTCTCATTTCAAAGCAAAGCAAACATTAAGAACCATCTAGTTTTGGCTAAAAAAAAAATTGCACAAGGCCTCAAAGAGAAGCAAACCAGCCAGGCTGAATTGTGGAAACCCACAAATGAGCACACGAGGTATGTCTGTCCCCTTGTGATCAATAACCCACTTAGAGCAGCTTCAGAATCACCAGTGGATTCAGGACAATGTTGTTCCATTTTAAAAACACCTCTTCGTAGGGAAGGGTTAATACAGCTGCACAAGCATACCTGAAATGATTGTCTGGTGTGTTAGGAATGAAGCAGGAGCCACCCACTCCTACAAGCTTTTCTCCTATATTAAAGATACTTGCTGGTGTGATTTAAAATCAGAAGGGGAAGGTAGTGAGGATTTCCTCCTATTTATGTATCTTGGTGCCCTCTCTACTAATGAACCATCTTCAGCTGTGTAAATCAGCATAATCCAGCTGCCAGCCCCAATGCTGGATGAAGTATCTGAGATAGCTTGGCATCTGTATGATGATAGGTTTTTTGGGATAACAGACTCGGGATTCAGAAGACAGGAGGCATAAAGAAAACCAAAGCAGGAGTGAAGAGAAAAAGTTCTTGTACCTCTTTACCTTTTAAAAAAATAAGGGGGGGGAAAAGGGAAATCTGTATTCCAGGAACAAAGAAGCCAATGCCAGGCTTTCTGATACCATCTATATTTTATAGAACACAAATAATTAAGCTTAAAAGGATAATCTTGTACACAGCTTAGCCTGAATTTGTACTGCATGTATCAGCAAATGCTGCCTCCCCAGTGACCTGGTGGTACCTGTGGCCACTCATAAGAGTGCAGT